GATTTTGAACTCGAGGAAATCCAGCATCTCCTCAGAGTTTGAGGACGATTTGGCAGAGGCAAGGGCGGAGCAGTACGTTTTAATGTGTTCCAGCCAGGTCTGTCGGTGGACCGTTAGATCAGATTTGAGCCAGGGGCGTTTGGCATCCCGCACCTGACCCTTGAAGATGTAACAGGGTGAGCTTCGTGAATAGGAGGCAGTTCGGGAGGTGACGGGGGCAGGGACATCAAGAGTAGTAGAGAGAGGTGAGCGAGGAGGATAAATCAGTGTGCGAGGTAGGCCAGGAGTTCAGATGACTCCAGGGTAGCAGAAAGCGATTGCAGGGATTCTTTTTCAGGGGCGGTAGGAGATGAAAGTGGCTTTGGTGGTGACAGGGAGAGGAATTGAGGAGCTAAAGATGAAATGGTGATCAGAGATGGCTTTGTCTGTGATTGTGATATCCAAGACACTGAGGTTCCGGGTTATCACCAGATCGAGTGGGTGGCCATGAACATGGTGGCAGAGTGGATGTGGAGGGACAGGTTATGAGCGGAGAGAGGAAATGTCTGAGGAGATAGAGTAGGAGGGGATGAAGTGAAATTTGAAGTTGCCGAGGATGAGGAGGGGTTCAGAACAGAGGCAGAGGGAAGCTAGGAGGGTGGAGAATTCAGAGATGAAGAGGGGGGGGGAGGTTTTTCGGGGACAGAAAATGAGGAGAATTTTGCGGGAAAGATTGGAGGGATGGTATAGCGTAATTTTTGGGGAAGGACAGCTCGGGTCAGGGCGGCAACCAAGATGCACACACCAAGACTTGAGGCAGGCAGTTTGCAGGCATAGTCAGCCCGCAGACCTGGAGACTACAGGGACTAGAAGCTGCACAGAGGGGGGAAGAGGGGGCAGGCCACCCATTATATTGTTGGCCAAATTGCCCAACCTGAGAAACAACACCAAGCACCCTGCAGGGGATGGACAGACAGAGGGGAAGAAGATACTATTATTCAAAGGATATTATACTACACCTGGTTTCAGTGGTTCACACCTGGAGGCAGAACTGACGTCACGCGGGGAGTTTCAGCCGTTGGTTTTGGTGGGGGATTTTGAAATGGTGGCTTCTTGGCTGAGCCCAGTAATGGCCGTGCTCCCACTCAATCCCCAGTCCTGTTTATTACTGCTTCCCGGTACCGATCCCCAAGACCTCAGCCCTGCCGTTAGCTACCGGTCCCAATCCCTGGGATGCCTACTCTACTGTTAACTCCCAGTTCCCGCTGGACTCACTGCCGCCACTCAACTCCCGCACCAAACTTGCTCTGGAGCAGCTAGGTTTGGCCTGCTGCCCCTCGTAGATTACCTCCTGACACCGGCCTCAAAACTGCTCCGTCACTATCCTTCTGTTCCTCTTCTCACCTCTATTTTCCAACGATTCCCGTGGCCACTAGCCTGCTCTCAGCTCCCAATTTGGATACATGGAGTAGGTGGTCATAATAATTGTACATAATATACAACTATTATAGGTAATTATCCGATGGATAAATATGGTTCAAGAAAAGAGTTGAAGCCTCTTGAAAAATGAACTTCTCTTCCAGCTTCTGATACAACAACAACTTACACTTATATAGCATCCTCCACGCAGGCTAGTGTCTCAAGAGTGCTTAACAGTGGCGGAGCCTGAGTCCGAGATAGGGAGAGAGGGGGAAGGTGGTCATAAGCACGGACGAAGGGGACAGTTTGCAGACGGGACTTGAAAAGGGGAAAGAGGGGACAAGGCGGAGGGATTGAGGGATGAGTGTCCCAGGATTTGGGGGTGTAATGGCTGAAAGAGCAACCTCCTATGGTGAGGCAGATGGTGCGAGGGATGAACAGGAGGCCGGTGCCAGTCGAGCGGAAGCACCGGGTGGTGGATTGGGGAATGAAGAGGTCGGAGAGGTAGGGAGTGAATGGATTTGAACACGAGTGTGATGATCTTGAAGTCGATGGCCAGAACTGGTGAAATGTGGGTACAGAGTTTGGTCCGGTTCAGTATGCGGGCCGCAGAGTTTTGAATGATCAATTTCTAACATGTTCAATTTCTTAACATGTTCTGTGCAATTTCTAACATGTTCTGTTTTTTTCACCCCTGGGCTCCAGCTACTGTTTTACATCAAGAGCTCAGTACTTCCATTTTGCAAATAATTATTTCAATGAATTGTTCGGTTAAAACTTGTAATTCATCCTAAGGCAATCCGTAAATGGAACGTATAACTGGCTGCAGAATTCCCACATTCATTGTTCAGATTATTTCTCAATAAACTGTCCACGTGTTGGATCTCCACATGTCAACATCATAAGATATCAACAAGTAACACACTGCCAGTGGCTGTAGGTGGTAAAAGCTTATGGTTGCACAAACTGACCTGAACTGAATAAGTCCTGAATAAAATTAAACCACGCCATCTAAACATAGGATTGTCACTGGAAGAACCTGGGTCTAGATTTACTCATTTTAAGTAGCATTTCAGATGCTGGCAAATTCTTAAATACAGCCAGTTTTCAAGGTGGTTTCTGTAAGTTTACTTTGCAAACTACAGAAAAATGACTTGAGAGTTAAAAATGAATTCAACAATTGGCATAATTCTGGACACTCTGAAGTGCTACATAAATGGAGTAAATGTACATAGTTATCACAAGATCAATGGACTTATTCAAATGAAGAATTTGGCCCATTTAATCTCGCCTTTCTAGAATGCCCACGCTACTTCTCCCTATTGCAACATTAAATTGTGCCTTATATATGCAGTACCGGCCTCAACCTCCTTGCCTGGTAACCAATTCCAGTTGCTGATTATCCTCTGTGTAAAGAAATACTTCCTGGTGACTTTCCTAAATTTCCTGTTCACTATCGTGAGCATGTACTGTCTACACATTTCTGAAAATATTGTTTTGAACTTACTGTTCATTTCATAAACTATTCATAAGCTTTGGTTTTACATTTTGTAACCTTCCACTCAGTTAGATTTACTGCCTTGTAACCTCTGCCAGGAATCCATTTCTCCCTGTAATATGAGCAAGCTATGGTTGTTACTGAATGGCAGAACCACACAGCTTCATTATTTTCAAACATAAAAAATTAAGCTGCTGAAAGGTTCTGTGGGGGAATACAGAATACGATCAACATTATCTTCATCACAAGTTAATGATCTCATTGAGAGGTTCAGATCATAAACCAAAAGAGCAAATCCCAAAGAGGTGGAATGGCCTCCACACTTCTACAAAGCAATTCCAAAACATTCTATACACACAGCAGATCGCAATACACCAACGTCAATTCTTTTGTTTAATGTCAATAAAGAGCCAGAGTGTGGAAATTCCACCTGGTTTTAAGACTGCAGGAATGTTTTGTCTTAAAATGCCATCTTAAATTCAGATTTAATTTGGAAGCAGGATTAAAGCAGATTTACGAATTTTCCAAAAATTCTGTAACCAAATGGTTTTACTGGCTAAGACTAGTTGTAATTGGTGACACTATCTAATACCATCAACAGGCTTGAAGATGGTCTATTAGGTCACATACAAACTTTCATGCTTAATCATACTCAGTTTAAAGCCTCTTTAAAATGTTTTAACTGAGTTTACTGTATGATGTCACTTAGGTAGTTCGCAACACAGTCAGAGTGCATCAATTCAATACCTGAAACGCTCTCCCGAATCAAATTAATTTCCCCCTCCCCAATCACCCATAAAACTACACGTTGCATTGAATTGATGCTAGCTGTGCAATATAAATAGCTTATAAACCAGCTACCTTAACAAGATGAGACTGCACCTCGGAAATCTCTCCAGCACATGTAATATAAGATACACATATGGGCTGAAATTTATTGTAATTCACTATATTACTTGTGAAAATTGCCACAAGGAACACATTATGAAAAAAATCCCAAATTTCACCCCCGTTGAATATTGAAGAGTTCATGGCTGGTAGATTTGAGTCCATTCTTTGCCAAAGGCATGAACAGTCTATAGTTTCAACATGTTAGCATCCACACGATACCAGTCCTTAACAAAACCATTGCAATTCAGATTTGAGTACTATTAAACCCTTCATTACTGTAGAAACACAGTCAGTAGCAAGACAATAATAAACCTGGATATGCAGTATTCACAAGGAGGAATTCAGAGGTTGGAAAATATCCTTGAAAGATCAGGAAGTACAATACACATTCCAGAAAATCAACTGACACGAACATATTATCAATTCCGAAAGTGACTTTTTTTTAAAACCAGCTCTAAACTGCCTTCCTGGAGGAGACAAAACAATGTTTTCACATTCCAGCAGATCAGCGTGACTTCTCAAACATACTTACTGTTTTTTAAAAAAAAGTAATCTGTATAATTCCAGAGAGAAATATAATAATCCTTGCATTTAATATCGAGTTTCATCATGGTCATCAAAACACCTCGAAGCACTTCACAGGAATTACTGTAAAGTGTAGTTAGTGAGTTTGTATTTTAATGTAAACAAAAAAAATCACACCAGTCTGAGTCGACTGACCTTTGAGAATCGCTGCTGGAGCTGGATAATTGGAAAAAAAAACATGGGGTTTCCAATACTGAGTCCATGAATCATATCCAAATCCTCTCTCTAACTCTTGGGAAGATTCGCCGTTTTTGTTCGAAAAATATATAATTTGCATATTTTTTCCACAGCAAACGTTGCGTCTGTGTATTTGTCCTCCCGCGCTATGTAAATAGTTTGTTGTGATTTGCTGTCGGTTCGCAACACGGACACAGATCCCGACGTGAAAGGCGCTATATAAATGCAATTTGTTGTTGTTGCTCGTTGGTGGTCGTTTGCGACACACACACAGTCAAGTTAAGCAAAATCTTTTTTGTGTTTGTGGTTGGTTGGTTGCTGCAATTTGGTTATAGGAACATAGGAATTGCTAGACAAAACAAGACCAAGGTCCATCCAGTCCGCCTTCCACCATCCTGGTAGTCGCATGCTACTATAATGTAGATGTTGATAGCAATTAATTCTGTATGGATTAGTCTACCATCACAGTGGAAAGCTTAGATCCAAAGTTGTTTTTGTTGGTTCACAACATACACAGAGCCAAGAAAAGCAAAATCTTTTGCGTTTGTGGTCGATGGTTGGTTAAGGTGTTGTAATTTGACGTTGGTGGTGATTTGAGAACACGCGGAGAGCCAAAGAAAGCAAAATCTTTTTTTTGTGTGTGTTTTGAGGTTGGTTAGGTGCTGAAATTTTTGTTGTCGTTGATGGTGGTGATTCGAAACACACACACACGCGCAGAGCCAAGAAAAGAAATATCCTTTTGCGTCTGTCGTTGATGTTGGGTGTTGTGTTGCACCTTAGTATGTGTTCTTTTTCAGGCGCTTTTCTGCGAGAGCAAGTTCTTCTCTGGAGGGAGGGTGAGCACGAAGGGGAAGAGGAGGCCTTTGCCCTCCGTGCAAGCTGAGAGCTCCTGGCTGTGGAAAGCTTGTGAGGAGGAGGTGATGGAAGAGGAGGAGGAGGAGGAGGAAAGGCAGCCCTTATCCTCCTGTCCTTTATTAGCCTCTCCCTCTCCCTTGCCCACAGTGAAGCGCAAGGTGCTGCCCTTGTTCACGCAGTAGATGTCTCTGCCCAGGACCGCACAGCGGAAAGGTTGGAGGGACCGTGAGCTGGTTGGAGAGACCATCAACGAGGCGCATTCGGACCACACCTTGGCCACCGCGTTATACCTGAAGACGGCCATTCCTCCTCCTCCGCCACCCCCACCCCCAGGCGGCTCCCTGCCCAGGTCGAAGCGGTAGACGGAGCTGCCCAGGGCCACCATGCCGACCGAGCGCCTCCTGCTGCTGTTACACGGGCACTCCTCCCAGCGGTCCCGGCGAGGGTCGTACTTGAGCAGCCGGTAGAAGAGCGACCCGCCCGACACGTACAGCTCCCCGGCGCAGGCCGCCGCCTCGTGGGCCACGGCGAAGGCCCCCCTAGGCAGAGGGGCCACCGGGCTCCAGCGGTCGCTCCTGGGGTCGTAGCGCTCCACCGAGAAGAGGCACTCGCCGCCGATGGCGTACAGGAAGCCGTCCAGCGCCACCAGCTTGAGCTGCGAGCGGCCCTGCCTCATGGCCCGCAGCTGGCTCCAGGCGCCCGTCAGCGGGTTGTAGCAGAAGACGCGGTCGGAGGGCCGGGCGCTGGCCCGCGGGCCGCCAGCCTCAGCACCGCCCGCCGAGGACGCGGAACTCCTCCGCCCGCCGGCGGCCTCACCACCACCAGCAGCACCACCAGCACCAGCAGCAGCAGCAGCGGCCGAGAACTTTGTGCTCCTCCGCGCCTCGTTGCCGGGTCCGGACCCGGCGCCCTCGTTGCCGGGCAACAGGCCTCCCGCCACGAACAGGTAGTTGTACATCGTGCACAGGCCGCAGCCGCGCGCGCCGCTCCCCGCCGCCGCCGCCTCGGGGATGACGCACAGCGGCAGCCAACGGTCGCGCTGCGGGTCGTAGCGGTGCAGCCGGCGCTTGTCGTCGGCGTCGTCTGCACTCTGCACCGGGGATGAGGCGGCGGAGGAGGAGGAGGCCCCGCCGCCGCCCCCGCCGTCGCCGCCGGGTGCCGGGCTCTGAGGGCGGCTGCTCTCTCGGCTGCTGCTGCTCGACGACGACGACAACAACGACAGGCGCTCGTACACCTCGCCCACCTCGGCCAGCAGGAGGCACTCGTCGCCCTCGGCCCAGCGCCGCCTCAGGATGAGCTCCCGCTCGGCGCCGGTCAGGCGGCCGTACACCCCGGGCTCCCTGAGCACCCGCAGGTAATGGTCGCTCATGTACTTGTAGGCGGCGTCCCTCAGCTCGGCCAGGCCGTGCCGCTTGGCCAGGCTCAGCAGCTCCAGGCAGTTCCCGACCTCCAGCTGCGCCTTGACGTCCTCCACCGCCTGCGCCGCGGCGCACGGCATCTGCAGGAAGCGGGCGCCGGCCACCACGTCCAGCAGCGTGTCCTTGCTGACCGCCATGCCGCCCGTGTACAGGTAGTCCACCAGCGCCCGCAGCGTGGCGTGGCTCAGGCCGCGGACGCTCACGAACTGCCTGGAGAGGCGGGCGCGGAAGAAGTCGCTCCCGGCCGCCAGCACGCGCTTGTGAGCGCGGATCCGGCTGCCGCCCGACACCTCGATCACCAGGTCGGGCTCCTGCAGTTGCAGCTCTCGATCCGACGGCCACTGCGGCGGTGGCGGCGGCGGCGGCTCCTGGTTTATATGGTGCCGGGCCGGCCAGCAGCACGACCCCTGCCCCTCCCGCTCCTCCTCCGGCTCCGGGCCGCTCGCCCGCCCCCCGTTTCCGTCTGTTGTCGCCGTCCCTCGGCGGCGGCAGCAGCGGGCCGGAGGCTCCGGGTCTGTCGCCTCTCCGGCTGGAGCCGAGAGGATGCGCTCGGTGACTGGTGGTGATGGTGGTGGTGGTGATGATGGAGGAGGAGGAGGAGGAGGAGGAGGGGAGACGCCTTGTTCTGGGGCGCTGTTGTGCTGCTGCTGGGTGGTGATGGTGGTGGTTGTTGTTGATCTGTCTCTGGCTCTTCACGACCCTCTCCCCCGCCGAGCCGGACGGCTCCCTCTCGTCTCCCGACGGAGCCGAGAAGCAGAGGGACGAGCTGAAGCTGCAGGAGGAGCCGCTGTGCGACAAGGAGACGCCGCCCGCCTCGCCCCACGCCGGGCCCCGGGCATCATCGCCTGCCCCCGGCGGGTGCCACTCGCCCCCCGCCTCTCCCTCGCCTTCCCCCCCTCTCCCTCTCTCCGGCGCCGGCAGCCCGGCCGAGCCCAGCCGGGCCCGCAGCCCGCTGGCTTGTGGCCCGGGTTGGTCACGGTCCTGCCCGCAGGGGGGAGGCGCACTGCCCGGTACGCCGTTGACGGCGCGTGGCTCACACCGCTGCGGGAGACGGGCCGTGGCCGCCGCCGCCGCCACTCGCTGAACGCTGTCCCCTTCGACCCCGGTCTCCGCGTGACTGTGTCCCTCGGTCCGGCGCCCGGCGGTGTCCCTCGGCGGCTCCCTTTCAGGGGGTGGATGCCTGTGCCCACCCGCCCCCACCTGGGTCAGCGCCTTCCCTCGGCGCGGATTTCCCTGTCCGGGTGCATCACTCCCCGGAGAGCAGCCGTTCTCACCGGTTCGCCGCTCCACGACGTCGTGCGGCTCCTTTCGCACCGGTTCTGCGTCGAAGGCGCTTCGCGTTTCCCCGGGTTCAACGCCGCCCCTTCCCATCCCGACTGCTCGCCTCTCCCCGTCCTCTGCCCCATTGCTGCAGCGCCCTCCCGGCGAAGGTCTCTCGGGGCTGCTCGCGAAAAGCACAGGTTCGCTCATTAGCGGAGCGGGATCGGGGGTTCCCACACGCAGGTGGTGTCCGGGATGATCCATCGGCAGGAGAACCCCCCCCCTCCCCTGCCCCCTCCTCCCCCCTCCTCCCCACCCCCCGACTGCTTACACCGCAGTGTAAGTTGGCATTGGCGTAACTCCCACCGTGTACCTCAGTCGCGCATTTCATTCATTCAGTCGTCGGTCAGTCAGAGTGGGTGGGGGTTGACTGTAAATCCAGTGTGTTTTCTCGTGGGGAGAGATCGGGGCTCCGGAGGCGGATCACTTGGCATTCGTGAGCCGTTGTGGCCCGAGTCCCGCGGTCACACGCACTCCCTCCAAGTTCAGCGAACGTCTGTTAAAGTCTTGGTAAAAAAGCCAAGCGGCCCCGCTGCCCTCAGCCCGGTGCTCAGTGCCCTTCAGAGAAAAGGAACAACAACAAAAAACATTTTTTTTTAAAAAGAGCATTAATTCTTTCAGAAATCTAAAACCTGAAAGACCAGAAATCGAAGGCGCAAGTGGTGCATAAACTAAAGGTTAAACGTATTACTTTTCATTATGCAAAGCAGTTAAGGTATTTTGCCCATACAAGACGCAGTCAATCCACTCTACAATATATTCTGTGAAGCTCTTTGAGACATCTCAACCATGTGATAAGGCACTATATCAAACGCGAGGATTATTATTGCCATTAGATGGTGTCACTCCGACTGATGAGAGGAGACAGCCTCTAAAACACTGAAGATTAGATCGAATTTGTGAAAGTGAGAAAGACGACAGAGTATTCTTGAAATTGCATAAATTTAGTTTCGGGCCTCTCGATAACAAAATAATCACCTTTTCATAAACAAGTGCTACTGTGATCTTCATTAAACAAATGTGTGGCAAAGTTTTCTCTGCACAGTGGACTATGTAAACCCAGTCAATATGGCATCCTGATTAAATATGCCACATTAATTACTCCCCACCCTCCCAAACTAACTCAAAGGTTGATCGTTTTCCTGAGCTCCTTGTGTTCATTCCCTTTTCAAGAGTTACTGAACAATATACATATCATGAACCAGAGTAGTTCTGGACTCATTTGATGATGCTTTTAATATTAAAAGTCTGAGTGCAATCTATTTTGTCAATGTTATAATAAGTCTTCTGTTTGATATGTTGCCTTGTGTTGTCAAGATTTACAAAAATACATTTCAAAACACTTCACAGAATTTTAACACAAAATATATTGACTATTGATTAGGGAATGTGGAAGTTATTTGCATACAGCAATGCCCCACAAACAGCCATGAAGCAAGTAACCAATTTTATTTGGGAGAATCGTTGGTCACACCATGAGAAACTCATTTCAATGTAATGCAAGTACAAATCAAATTTACATTTATACTAGCTCCTTTCATGTCGGGAGGACAACAACAACAACAAAATTACATTTATGGAGCGCCTTTTACATCGGGAGGATGTCTCAAAGCGCTGAATAGTCAGGTGTCAGGGTCCGAACATGGGGTGGGGGGGGGTCGTGTAGGGGTGAGGGAAGGCAGAGAGGTGGGAGGGAGACCAAAGGCACGGTCGAATAGAAGGGTCCGTGAGACCGGCCTTGAAGGAGGCGAGGGAGGAAGCGAGGTGAAGGGACCGTGGGATGGAGTTCCAGAGTGTGGGAGCAGAGAGGCTGAAATCCTAGCCACCGATGGTAGGGCGGGTCAGCACATCCCAAAGCCTTTAGCAGTACTGCTTGGACACATGGTGGGGGCTAAAGGTGGTGGGGAGGGCAAAGATGTCCAAAAGGGTGCTCTTGATATAGACCTTGAATGAGTTGAGAGAGGGAGCAATACAGTACAGCAAGCTGGATAAGTGCAAGGATGTCCACTCCCATCCCATTGTTTGAGTGACTGAAAAAATAACTTGTCAAATCAATTGAAAATTGCTATAATGAGAACCCTGGCTTCATTGCGGAAACAACCTTAACAGGTTTGCACACAATGAATGACACACTTCTTGTACTGTATTGTTTAACAGCATTATCTATTAAAAAAATGTCAATAAATGTTTTTATTTATTGAGCATAACACATTACAATTGCATTAAAATAAATACCTCATCTCTTCACTTTCCCTTGATACCATTGTAAAACCGAGCAAGTATCCTATTCTCGTTTCAAGCCCCATCATCATCAAAAAAGTTTGCCAAATATGTTAATGGCAATGCAAAAACAAAGCTTATTGTGAAACCTACATCAAACCATCCAGCTTTCCCTACAAAAACGTCAACAAAACAAAAGTGACTACACGCAACAGTAATTACCATAAAGTAGTCGATCCTCCAGCCAATTTGCACACAGCAGTGTTTTACAAACTGAATGATCAAGTTTATCTGGGGAATTGTTGTCCAGGACTTGGAGGAGACACTCCCGGACGCTAGATTGCAATATTAGCCGAGACTGCGCCTTCATTTGTACGTAAAAGATGTTGCAGCAAGTTCTTCTAAGAATCTTGTTTTCCTCAACTTTACTGATCATTTAAAAACCTGCCATAAAATGTTGTGATTTTCTTGTGATTCCCAACATGCTATGATTGTTAGTGGTTCTCTGTCAAGTCTCTTGGTGGTTGATTTTGTTTTTTTTAAAAAAAGGCTCTTGCTCAATAATTGCAAATGAACTATTGTCATGATGCAGCAAAACTTGATCACATTTACTGCAGGGAACGTTGTTTCAAATCACAGTAGCTCATTGGTGAAGAACGATCCAAGATGCATTATCAAAAGTGAATTCTGTTGGTTGAAGGAATTAAATAATTGACTCTCAGTGATTCCCACTCAAAGGGATTTTGTTCTGCTGTCGAAAAAAAACCTTGGCCACTGCAGATCCACATAGACTCAGAATATTGCTCCACACGCCTCTGTTTAGAGCAGTAAGTAAGAACCTGGTTGTTAGTCGATTGGCGGATCGCCTTCTGGGGGTAATGGTCCCTTCAATACGAATAAAATAATAATTTGGTAACTCAATCCACCACTATTTGTGGGACACTGCTGTGCGCAATTGGCTGCTGCGTTTCACCCACAACAACGTGATACGACTATCAAAAGATTATTAATATTGAAAGGAATCTGTGTGTCCAGCCTTTCAGACCAACTACCTTCCAGCCTTCTCCCCAGGGGCAGGAGGGAATCAATCCGGCCTCCTGGTGCATTTTCTCTTTTCATTGCTGGAACGAGTTTGGTGGAATAAATTCCAGATGATCTCAACAAATATAGCTGCGACTCCCACATTGTAACCGGGAGCCCACTCCGCCAGGATTGCTGGCATGATCATTACCACGGCAACGCGGCACTCACAGTAAAATCATTACATGTCGATGTTAATGTGACACACACACACATGAATAACCTGCACTACAGTACCGCCTGCACTACTGCAACATTCATAAATGGGATTCGGCTGGGAAACTGGGAAAGAAAGAGCAAAGGAGGAGTGGGGAACCACACACACGCTGACTTTTACACAGTCTGGTAAACGATGTTAAAAATGAGAGGATAATGCATTGCTCTGCACTGTTGATCTGACACTTCTGACCAACGAGGCGTTGTACTGTAACGCGCAGCTGCACAGACTGTGGCTCTGCAGAAGCAGTTTTATTTGAACCGCGAGTGAACTGAACGCCGGTGGGGGTTAAGTTGGTGGTTGGGGAGACCTGAGCGAAACGTTATGACCTGCAATCGAAGAGGGCACTGGATGTGCATTGACGTGCATCTCCAGCGGGTATTTGTTGTGAAGTGGAGTGGAGTGGGGAAGGATCAGTGAAGATTACAGGCGGCTTCCAGTCTGGTGAGGGAGACAGCCTGACGCAGAGATGGTGAGAGTGGGCTGGACATGCACCGCCTCAGCCACCTGAGAGAGAGAAACCTGTCTGCACCCAAGGAAACCCGAGGAGAGGCTGACACTCACAACCCAACCCAAACCCAACACACCACACAGAGCCTAATAATAATCCCTCCAAAACCAAAAACAATAATAAATTGGTCATTTTCATTCTACGACTGTTTGTGGGACATTGCTGTGCGCAATTGGCTGCCGCGTTCGCCCACAAATATACAGTCAATTCACTTTACAGTGTGTTCTGTGAAGCGCTTTGGGATGTCCTCCTGACATGAAAAGCGCTATATCAAATGCAAGGATTATTATTATTATTATTATTATTATTATTACCAGTCTGTGATCCTGAGGCACCGATCAGTCGTGCACTGAATGTAATGCAATACTTATTGCAATCGGATCAAATATCAGGCGATGGCTGTCAGTAAGGTCTCCGGGGCGATTTACTTAAGAAATAAATGCTAATTCCAGCCTTCAATATGTCTTCATTTGTTTTCCAAATATGTTTTCGTGTCATTAGAATAAAACGGCTCATTTGTTCAATCAGCTTTGTATTGACTCATGATGCTTGGGAGACCTAAAGTGGAGGGGGGGGGGGGGAGGGGGGAGGAGATGACACATTTATTGGCTTCATCTACACGTAAAATGACTTTGAAAAGAGGGGGGGAAGCGGCAGGAGGATATGTTCAGCTAATCCGCCTCGAGTCCACATTGCCATTTGTCATTACGATGCACAAATCCGAGGCTACTCTAATCTTTGCGGAACACACACAGACATTACACAGGTTCAGTGTGCAACTGCACACAGCAAACACACACACACACACACACACACACACACACACACACAGGCCAGGTTTAGTATGTGACTGCAATGGATAAGTTGCAGAGTGTAGGATGATCTAAAGGGAACAGACAGACATCATGTGTCTTCCTGATGGTTAGGACGATGCTCACAGCAGCGCTGCTCAGCCTCCACACCAACCGCACTGTAACCACTCGGTCTCCAGGCTCTGCGCTGGTCAGACCCGCTCCTTCAAGTGAATTAATGTGCATTGACAGCGATTGCACCAGAGGAACGACTTGTTCTCTCCTTACCCCCTCTCAACCTCGCAATCCTCTGGGTTTTGGGGGGAAATCGAGCGATCGATGGGTGGTGGTCGGTCTGGGGTTGTGATTATGCCTCACTGGGACC